TACTGCTCTGACACACGGAAATGGGGCAGCTACTCGCCTCTTCCTGAGGCTTTCTATTTGGAGAGAAGACGGACAACGCTTCTTCATCCTTCTCTGCTGAGCACAGATATCATTGAAAACACCAGAAAAATGAAACAGATGAACGTCCTCGGCGCTACAAATTACACAATTCCCACTCCATCAAGGGACTGCAGCCATACAGACTCAGATACAAACGCAGGGACGATCAGAGCCCCCGAGTCCACACCAGGCCCACACTGAGCCCTGCATGGCTGGAGAGCTCTGCCCTTTGCAAGGGCAATCCTGACCACAGGGCAGACCTGCCCTCTCACTGCTGAGGACGCTACCCGTGCAACCGCCAAGGCTGAAGGAAACAGCTAGCTCTCTGCAGCCAAAGACATTAGGAACAGCTAAGATAATTACAGATGTTTTTCTTTTGCCTTCCTCTCCTCCTTAATGGGTTTGTGAGGTGCTTAGAGCAAAAGACGCCCCATGACTGGCCCCATGCCCAGCTGCACTTTCACTTAATGATGAAAGCCGTTGGTTTCTTGGTGAAATGCAAAACTTCAGCCACTTAAATCTGGACTTCAATTCAAAAACTGCTGGGAAACTTTATTTTCAATTCTTAAGGAGCCAGGGAGGAAAACAAGGACAGACGGAAGGAAGGAAGGGAGGGAGGGAGGAGAGAAGGAGGGAGGGAGGAAGGAGGGAAGGAGGGAGGGAAGGATGGAAGGAAGGAAGGAAGGAAGGGAGGAAGGAAGGAAGGGAAGGAGGGGAGAAGGAGGGAGGGAAGAAGGAGGGAAGGAGGGAGGGAAGGGTGGAAGGAAGGAAGGAAGGAAGGGAGGGAGGGAGGGAGGGAGGGAGGGAGGGAGGGAAGGAGGGGAGAAGGAGGGAGGGAAGAAGGAGAGAAGGAGGGAGGGAAGGAGGGGAGAAGGAGGGAGGGAAGAAGGAGGGAAGGAGGGAGGGAAGGAGGGGAGAAGGAGGGAGGGAAGGAGGAGAGAAGGAGGGAGGGAAGAAGGAGGGAAGGAAGGAAGGAAGGGAAGGAGGGGAGGAGGGAGGGAAGGATGGAAGGATGGAAGGGAGGGAAGGAGGAGAGAAGGAGGGAGGGAAGAAGGAGGGAAGGAGGGAGGGAAGGGTGGAAGGAAGGAAGGAAGGAAGGAGGGAGGGGGGAAGGAAGGAAGGGACGGAGGAGAGGAGGGAGGGAAGAAGGAGGGAAGGAGGGAGGGAAGGATGGAAGGATGGAAGGAAGGAAGGAAGGGACGGAGGAGAGAAGGAGGGAGGGAAGAAGGAGGGAAGGAGGGAGGGAGGGGGGAAGGGAAACAAGGCGGGTGTGCATCTTCTCCCCAGGCTCCGCAGCAGCAAGGCCACCAGAGCTTCCGCGGTGAGGAGAGTGCCCTCCTCTGCACCATCACCGAAACTACTGCCCACCCACTGCGGCCGCGGAGCGCTTGAACTATGGCCAGGGCAATGACGAACCAAATTTTAAACTGTATTACATTTTAGCTCATTTAAATTTAAATAGCCATGTGTGGCTAGGAACTACCACGTTGGACATGGCAGAGCTTTGCAGTGGAAAGCTCAGTTCAGTAGGACTCAGAGCTGACGGCTTCGGTCCTGAAGGATGATGGGAGCCACACCCAGCTGGTTTGGGTTTTCTAGGCTTCAACAGAGTTGAATAAAGAAAAGTGATTTTCTTTCTCATGTCTCATGTTTGACTGGCAACTTGATTTTCTGGGTAATGAAGAGAGAATATTATTTTGCTTTTGCATTTTATGCCATTAACATTCTAAGCACAAATCTCCCTTCAGAGGAAGCGGTTATGAGACTCGCTGAGGTCGGCCACCACGTGAACCTCTTTCAACGTCTCTTTAAAACACCACTGTTCTGTAAACCTATGGTAATTTTCTTTCTCTTTTTGCTATCTCTTCTTTACTTTCTTTTCTTTACTCTAATGTAGTGCATAACTAAATCAAATACAGCAAGCCTTCAGAAAAACTCGTCAATACAATGTAAGTCTCAATGAAACCACCACACAGCAAGCTGAACAGGAAGGACACGGGGCAGCGGGTACGGGCGTGTACGCAGCTTTGAGTGCCCGTGCACACAAAGACATACGACGGGGAAAGTCCCATGGAAACACTTTTATTTCTGGAAGTCTGAAGAAAAACAATGTACACAGCGTGCGTGACACAGAGCGGCCTGGAACCACAGGGGCCGCCCAGAGCCGGCCTTGCGCAGCGGACCAGTTTTCCAGTGAGAACGATGGGTCATTCTAAAACAAAGCTAGAGGGTCCCGAACACCTGGAGAGAAGCGGCTTCCCGACGCCATTACCTAAACTACAGGACGGACTGCTTCTGTGCGGCCACTCCCCCACCATGCCGGTCTGCACGGTTACCCTCCCCCAATCTTAATGCTCTATGATGTCCAGGAGAGTCTGGCCGATGCAGCTGGAGAGGACGGCGCCGTTCACTTCAGCCAGATCCACTTGTCTCCCACGTCGGCGTTGTACCCAGGGCTGTACTTGCGGCCTGGCAGCTGTGGGGGAAAAGGCATTGGAGCACTCTGTTTAAAGTGAATGAATGTTTTCCCAGCCCACAGTTCACTGTTTACCCGGCAGATGCCTGCGGTTCATGAGTTCACTCAACGTGCTGGTGAGCACCTGATCTGTGGCCGGTCTCTGCTGTAAGTGCAGGGATGCCACAGAGTTACACAAACCACGACCTAGCCCTGCCTGCCAGGAGCTCCTGTCCTAGGGCTGGGAGCTACAAACGGAAAAGAACCACCTGAGTGCTCTCATTAATGTCAGGAGGGTGACAAGTGCCACGGGAGGGGGACAGAGCAATGCGTGGCACTCAGGTGAGGTCCTGAGGGCGACAGCCATGCAGACACAGGGGTGGGGCTGGGGCCCAGGAACCTCGGTTCACCATCTGAAACACCCCCAGGTGAAATCCCCTCTGAAGAGGGCCTGCAGTGGCCGGGCCACTGGCTGGAAGGAACCCTTGGCGGAGTAGGAAAGTGAATTTAACCCATGCCTTTTAAGTAGACGTGGGCAGGGTTCAGGAAAACCAGCAAAGGAGGGGGAAGCACCGCAGGACTGACCCTAGCAGGAGCCACTGAAAGGCTCCAGGAGCAACAGGAGGAAATGACCACAGAGGCCAGAAGAGGGGGCGCTGCCCGAGAGGCTGGGCTTGGCAGTAAGGGAGCCGCAGGGAGGGTGCCACAGCCCCACTTCTCCCTCCGTCTGGGAAGTCAGGGGCCCAGGTGGTGGTCCACAGAGGCCAACCTCCCAGGGCACACGGGGACCTGGGGGGCAACAAGAGTCCTTGCCAGCACACACACACCTGTTTGTGAGGGTGGTGGCCAGCATGGGGTGGCTGGGGCAGAGGGAGGATTGATGCTCCCACAGGGCTGCCTGGCGCGGGGCTGCGAGGAAAGCGCCCAGCATGGTGTGTGTTGCCTGGTGGCAGCACGTAAAAAAACAATCAGTTTTTCATATTTTCAAATCAGCATGGGCACACAGCCAGTATGTGTATACACACACACACACACACACACACACACGGCCAGTATGTATACACACATACACATGCAGACACAGCCAATATGTGCACACATACACACCTTCCCAATTCTGCCATTAAGAGCAGGTACTAAAATCACTTCTAAAAGAATCAGCTTTTCCTTTATCCTAATCAGCAGCATGCATTCACAGCCAGCCACACCGCCACGGCTGCCTGGACCACAAGTCACTGAAATGTGCCTGGCCTGGCCTGTGCCACAGCGCTCACACAGTGAGAGACACACACACAACACATCCTAAGGAACAGCAGGGAGGTCCCCCCAAGACCAGCTGTCTCAGACACAGGACAGGCAGAGCTCCGAGGATCTCCGAGGCCCAGGAGCCAGCCTCCATCCTCCCCGGAGGCCTCTCCTCTCCTGGGTGGGCAGCTCCGAGTGGCCTGGGAAGTGGAAGGGCTGGGGCGGTGTTAGTCCGTTCCTGCGCTGCTACAGAGACACGCCTGCAGCTGGGTGATGCAGAGAGAAAACAGGTCTGACCGGCTTTCGGTTCTGCAGGCTGTGTGGGAAGCATGGCGCCAGCACCTGCTTCTGGGGAGGCCTCGGGAAGCTTCTCATCATAGCGGAAGGCAAAGCGGGGGCAGGCACTCCACACGGCGGGAGTGGAAGCAAGAGCTCGAGGAGGGTTGGGGGGCGGGTGCTGCCACAGACTTTAAAATGAGCAGGTCTCGTGTCAGCTCTAGAACACACTCACCACCTCGAGGAGGGCACTAAGCCATTCAGGAGGGATCCACTCCCGTGACCCAGATACCTCCCGCCAGGCCCCACCTCCATCGGGGGATCCCATTTCTACATGAGATTTGGAGGGGACAGACATCCTAACTACATCAAATGCTCATCGAAAGGCAGGGGGTGGGGTGGCACAGACTCCAGCTTTCTGGCCCAGGACACAGTGTGGAGACAGACAGTTTTGTTTAGGTACCAGAATTCTGGGACACAGAAGAAAAAAGAAAAGCCCACCTCCTTCAGGAGTTTAAAATCTGAAAAGAGATTAAGATGAAAGCACAGGTCATTCAGCCAGTGACACCGAGACAGCCCGGGGGGCTTGATATTGTGGGATCCCCGCAGGATGCGCGGGCAGCTGGTCCGGCAGAGTCCACGGAGGTGTCAAGAGAGACCCCTCCAGGGTCAGAGGATCTCCCAACACTGCTGCTCGAACTGCAGGTGACTACAGGTGGCAGGCACACTGCAGGAGCTTCGCGGTTCTGACAAGACTTTTGGCATAAGGTGCCTCTGTCAGACGGGCTGCAGGTGCTGTTCCTGGACTGGGGAGCAGGGATGGGCACCTGGGCTGGCCTCAAAGGGCCTGATGGGGTCAGGAAGGCCTGGGTGTTAGAAAGGAGGAGCTGGCAGTCCCCAGGGAAGGCGAGTGTTGGGTCTGCTTATGGAATGGGTGCAGGGTGTGGGCCACACGGCAGACTGCCCTGTAGAAAAGGCCTGTGGGCAGTTGGAAAACTGGGTCTGCGGCTTAGAAGACGGGGCTGTGCAGCCACCACCCAGTAACTGTGGGAGGCAATGCCCCATGAGCCGAGCATCCAGGGGGATGGAGAAGCAGAGGCTGAAGAGCAGCACCTCGTGGCCGAGGCTGCAGAGGGACTGAGGAGTGAGGCACGCAGGCCACAGGAGGAGCTGGGCATGACCACGCATGACACACGGGGCCTTGTGTCACGGTGACCGGGTAGCCACTGGCCTTGCACCAGGACACGAGGAGCTGTGGGAGGAGACCAGGTTAGCAGGAGAAGCAGTCAGCAGCTGAGGAAAGGGACACAGAGCCTGGGCTGCTTTCACAGGCCAGGTAAGGACACGTGCATCTGTGCCTGCAGGCCTGTGCATGTGCAGGGGGCTGGCAGGTGGGGTCTCCACATCAAGAAGAGGTGGAGATCTCTATCTCAAGATGCCCAGCGCCTGGAACCTGTGAACACATGGTCTCACCTGGCAGAAGCGCCCCTGCAGCAGGGGACTGGGAGATCATCTGGGATACCCTCATGGCCACAGGCCATCACTAGAGTCCTCAGAGACCAGAGAAGGAGATGGGACAGGGAGGCAATGGCCACAGTGATGTGGGCCAGGAGCTCAGGGACGGGGTGGCCTCTAGAAGCTGGAAAGGTAAAGGCCCTGGATCTCCCCGTGAGCCCCAGAAGGAACCAGCTCTGCCCGCACCCTGATTTTAGAACCTCTGCCTCCAGAACCTGAGGAGGATGCATGCATGCTGCCGTAAGCCGCCAGTAAGTGGCAGCTGGCAACTCGCCAGTAAGTGGCAGCTGGCAACTCCTGTAGGGTGTCTGCTTTTTATGACGGGAGATACCAGGGCATGTCTATAAACAGGAATTAGAAAGCTGTGCAGGGAAAAGGCCAAGAATGCAGGAGAGGGCGGGTCACCTCCAGGAACAAAATCGCGGAGGGAGGGGCAGGCCAGAGCGCTGCTGATGAAAGTGGCAAGGCCCCTCAGGCGCAGTGCAGCCAGGATGCCCTGCGGAACCGCACTCCACACAGCTGAGCCGCTGGCACCCAGGAGCACGGGAGTCGGTTCTGGATCTCAGAGGTGGTTCCTGCCAGAAATTCATTTTTCACCTGAAGGACCAACTGCAGAGTGACGTCCAAAGAACAGACGGTTTACACCTGAACAAAAGATTCCCTCAAAGTTTTTCCGTTGAGCCGACGCTGCCGCAAGCCCGCACGCGGCCGGTGGGCACCTCTCTGAAGACGCCGGCTCAGCTCTCCCAGGGTTTTTCAACTCAAGTTGTCATTTCCAGTTTTACTCAAACACAGGACCAGCCACGCAGGTCCATTCACCGCAGTATTTACAGAAGAAGGGCTGGGTTTGGGACAGTCTGGCTCCGTTTTCCTCTTTGCAAATCGAATTTTACATCAGAGCAGAGCAGAGAACATGAGCTAGCGGAATACCAAACCTGCAAAGTCCAGCCGTGGCTATGATTGTCTCGCAAAGTGTGTCTCTGGACTTCTCGGGCAGCAGGTAACTGGCCTTTGATACCCAGGAGGGGCTCTCAGATCCAGGGGGTCTCTTTTCAGTTTTAGGCCAACAGAGACCCATGCAGTCATCTAAAGCATCTCACACTGGGAACACGCAAAAGCATCCCCTTAGTTTCCATTACACTTAATGTCTGTATCTGCTCATTTAAAGTAAGACTTCAACCCTCAGAGCCCAGCGCTCCCTCATCACAGGAGACAAAGCACATGCTAACACCTCGGAGGAAAGCAGCAAAGCCCATTTTCTCTCAGGGCGGCCTCACTGCGGCGGCCTCGCCGGACCTTCCTCCCGAGCCAAGCTTTCCTGGATCTGCTTGTTCACGGTGCCTGGTGCATGGCACCCATGTGTGTGGCACCTGTGTACATGGCTGTGCATACGAAGGCTGAAATGGAAAGGCCATGTGGTGAAATACTCAGGTGTGGGCCGTACACCCACTTCAAAATGAAAAGAAAATCATGTTCCTCCTGTCAGAAGCTGGGGCTTCTGCTGAATGTATAACGGGTGAGCAAACCAAAAATCCTTAAAAAGCCAAAGAAGAAAGAGCGCCTAACAGAAAAAGGTTCAAACCCCTCCAAGGCTCCTCCTCTGCAATCCCCTCTACTATAACGAGGCAAATGTATTTCCCTCACTGGATCTCTGAATTCAAGACATTGAACTCCCTAGGTTCACAGTGCTTTGATCAGCTTGACACTTTCAGGAGGCTCTTTCCCTGCATTCCATTTTCCATTAGAAATCAAAAAGCAAGTTTACTAAAGAAAGGGGAAACACCTCAGTAAATTGCAAAGCCAAACATACCCAGTCCTCTGCCAGGTCCCAGGTCCCGGCAGCTACTCCACCCACGACCCTGGCGGGCATCAGTCCCTGGTGGCCCATCCGGAGAGTTCCAGGGCAAGGCTTGGCAGCAGGAAGGGATTTCAGACAGCGCACTGGGAGGCTCCCTGCCCAGTCACCCCGGCAACCTGGGCTGACCCAGTGTAGAAACTGAGTTCCTTTCCCTGAGAGCTGCTGGTTACGGGGGCTGGGCTGGAAATGACAGCTCCCCACTGATGGATCCCAGACTCGGAGGATGGGATTGGGGGGGCTTCCATCCCAGGCTGAAGAGGGTGTACACATTTGCATTAGCAAATACAGAATGACACATGGGGCAGGGGTGTGTGTGTGCACACTGCGTCCAGCCTGCTTGGGGATATGGATCTGCACTTTCTTCTCCTGGAAAACCTCAGAACGGGACTTGTTCCCACCCATGTATCCTGACTCACATACAGGAAAGACTGAAGAAGAGACAGGATCAGACATTCTCATCAAACCCACTCCCGATTTCTCCAGATATCTGTGTGCAAATCTGTGTGTCAGAAGTCCACGCTTAATGTAAACTAACATGATGAATTTCCTGACCCTCACAGTTAAGAGGATGAATGGCACACACAGCCAGGTGGGTGCTGCGACCCTCTCCAGCACCAACCTGGAAACTACACACAAGGAAACCTGAACGGGGCTGCCTGAGGGAGGGGCCCTGGGCAGCGGCAGAACAAAGAAGGAGCATTACTCTCATCTGTATACTCTGATGTACCTATTGATTTTACAGCATGTGCAAGGATTTCCTTTTTCTTTCTTTTCTTTTTTCCTACGAAGAGAGAGAGATTAACTTGCTGAGGGTGGCACACGGCCAGTATGTTCACAGAGCTAGAACTGGAGCCGTGTCCCCTGGCTCCCGAGTCTGCTTCTAACCCCTGGGCCACACTGTACATCAGGCTCTGCCTCTTCCAGCCTACAGCTGTGTCCATTCCCAGTCTTCTCATCATAAATAACACCATGTGCCCCCTTCTAGATTTACGTGCTTAAGATAAATTTCTAGAAATGGAACTGCTTGCTTAAGGAAAAACAATAAACAGAGCAATAGACGCTGACGCAGCCATCAGAACGGGTTTAATTTGACAATGCTGAGACGCTGGTCCAGATGACTATGCTGCTGCTCACCCTTCAGGGGCGGATTCAGGGCCTTGGTTTCTCGTCATGAATTTCTACCAGACTCTTGGCCTTTTATTGCCTCGTGCACAGGTCAGCAAACTATAGCCCACAGTTCAAATCTGGCTGCTGACTGCTTCTGTAAATGGGGCTTCACTGGCACAGCCTGGCCCCTGTGTTCACACACTGGCTGCTGCTGCTTTCGCACAGCGCAGAGCTGAGCGGCTGTGAGGGAGACTGCGTGGCCTGCAGGGCGGGGCTCTTTACTCTCCAGCTCTTTAAAGGAAACCTTTGCTGATCACTGGCCTAAGAAAGAAAGGTAATGACAGGATAGTAAAGCTGAGTCCACGACGTGGTCTGAGTTCACTTAGCCCACAGTTACTTCCTAAGTGCCCACAGGTGCCAGGTCCCGTGCCGGGCAACAGCGCGCACAGAGGGGGGTCCAGCTGCAGGTGGGGTTGCAGAGGCAACAGGAACGTGTTGTTCTTTTACCCGAAGCCACGCCACTGAGTCTGTGTGGTTCAGTTTAAGGACTGGATGAGTTACGTTGGAAAAAGGTGCCCACTTGTAAATGCTACCGCCAACCTGGGATCTGTGCCATGAGGCCGAGGTCGCATGCGGGGGCTTCTGCCGGGCGCTTCTCTCGGGCGCACAATCTAGAGATGCCCCACATCAGTGCTTCAAATGCCAGCTGTTCGGACAGAAATCAGCCAAGGAAAAAAATACAGCCATCCATCCACACACACCTGCACACGTAGCCACTCACTCTCCTGGAGGAAGGTCCTTCTCCTCGTGAAACACTGTGTCCTAACTGCTTTCAGACAGGTGAACAAAGGCATCTCTCTGAAAGCTGCTGGCTCCTGCTCTTCCTTGGCTCCATAAAACCTAGAAACAAGCTGGAATGTGGGAGAGGCCCAAAGTCGAAGACTAGAGGTGATGGAGGGCGAAAAGGATGGAGAAATCCCACGACCAACATGGACAGAGGCTTCGGGTGCGGACAGAGTGAGGATTGTTAGGAAGAGGCAGACTTCTGGGAGGAAGGAGGGAGCAAACGCACGGGACGCACAGAGCTCCGCCTCCGTGGAGCAGCGAGCACAGACTTCAGCCCTGTGGTCTTAAAGAAGCCTGACACGGAAAAACGCCTCCCCAGACGCACTCTGGACTTCAGTCAATGTGAACCACACAGCTCCGGGTGATCAGTTAGACTGCTAGGGCCTGACCATGTGAACGGCACCAGGCCAAGGAACGGTCCACAGCTTCCTGCCAGGCAGCAGTAGCTGGGTCTGTACTCGCCTCTCAGCCAGACGCATTTAGAAACTGGAGAAATGGAGCCTGGTGGTTGCATCTGACTCTGGGCAGGACACAGTGTCTAGATTTTAGGGGGTAAAGCACTAAAGGGGTGGGGCCTAGGCAGAAAAAGAGCGCCGGAAATCTGTACAGGGGACCCACGTGGTCTCTGGCTGAGAACCAATCAGTGTGTGCACGGGGTAAAACTCTGTGAGGTTGGACAAAGTCGACATCAGGGAAAGAACAATTTCCAGGGAGTTGCAGGCAGATGACTCCCAGAGCTCACGTAGGGCTGAGAGTCAGCAAGGTCCCACTGGCCAGAGCAGAGGGGCCTCTCGCTGCACACACGCAGCATTCAACAGGGACCCCATGGCCATGCCTCAGTACTGGGCTAAGCCTGTCCTAAAGAAAGGCCACTCTAGGCTCATGAGAAAGCTGAAACATCAAGCCTCAAAAAGTTTACACTGACTTGCAAGTACCTTAACTGCTGTCAGAAGAAAAGTTCTAACACAGTTCAAAGGAACAGAGCAAGCTCTATCACTAGAAATGTAAAATCTGCAAAGCCTAGCAAGCAATGAGAGGTCTCCAGGCACATGAAAGAGGAAACTGGAACCCATAACAAGGGGAGAATATCAAGTCAACTCAGAACTGACAAAGATGATGCATTAGGAAACAAAGACATTACAACAGCTGTTATAAAAATGTTCTGTATGCTCAAAGAATTAAATGAGAAACATAACAAGGAGAGAATTGGAAAACATAAAAAGCACCAAACAGAATTTCTAAAGCTAAAAACCGGGAGTCCTGAAACAATTCCAGTGGAGATGCATGGTGGCCATGAAAACGTGCCCTGCAGAGCTCCTGCTGCAAGAGGAAAACGTGCTGTCCTGGCCCTGCATCTGCTGACCCTCAGGATCTGCTGCCTGTTCACGCCACGGCCACGCACCTCACAGAACACGCCCGGTCAGTGACGGAGCGCAGAGGAGCTTCTGGTGCCAGCTGTTCCTGTGGACTTGGGCGCCCTGACAGGCATCTCTGGCTCTCTGACACTTATCAGCCTGGCCAAACTTTCTGCTTTCTTCCTGTTTCCTGTCACAGACCAGCAAGGAAGAGCAGAGCCTCTCCCGCCATCTCAGGCGTCCTGTCCCTGATCCTTCAAAGGTGTTTTCTTCCAATAGACCTCTTCAACATCTAATCTCTTGGCTTCTGCTTCATGGAAGACCTAAACCAACAAAATGCAATTAACAGCATATCATACACCCACAGAAGAAAAGATAAGTGAGCCTGAAGGTAGAGCAGGCACAAGAACCAAAGCTAAGAAGAACTGCAGACTTCTCATCAGAAACTATGCAAGCCAAGAAGCAATGGAATATCTTTTATGTGTTGAAGGGGAAAACTGTCAACCTAGAATTCTATATCAAGTGAAAATACCCAACAAAATGCAGCTGAAAAATATATTTTCAGAAAAGCAACAGCTAATGGAATTCATTGCTCCCAGACCTGTTCTGTAACAACTGCTAAAGGAAGTTCTTTGCACAGGAGAAAGGTGATGTCAGGTGGAAACCCAAATCCACACACAGGAATGAAGCACATCAGAAATGCCAGGGGGAAGGATAAAAGACTAAACAATTCTGTTTCCATTTCTGTAAAAGATAACTTACTGTTTAAAGCCAAAATCACAACAGTCCCGTGTGATTTCCGTGAACGTGTATGAGAATAAGAGCACACTGAACACACAGGGCAGGGACAGCTGCGGCCTCAGGCCGGACACCTGCACTGTGTGTGAGGTGGTTAAATGCTTGACAGTGTGTGGGCTGACTGTGAGAAGTTAGAGATGCCCATGGTGAAACCCTGCAGCAATCATCAGAAATGAAATAAAGAGGGGTAGCTCGTATGTCCACAAAGGAAGTAAGATAGAATCACAGTATAACCAGTCTAAAAGACACCAGGAAAAAATGTAAAAGTGAATCTCACCTGCAATTACACATGGTTGAAATGCAAGATAAGAAAGAGCAGATAGCTCAGCCAGAGAGGGCACCGCACCTCCCTCTAAGAAAGTTCCTATCCAACAGATGTCACTGAATCGTTCATTTTTACTGACAAACTTCTCTGTGTCATTCAGTTTTTGCAGAGATAGCGTCTAACACCTAACAGCCCAACCTACTGCTCTTTGCAGTTACTTACCAGAAAACTACAGTAATGAAAGAAATACTACATAAAAAAAATATCGAATGCTGCTTTGTAAAAAGGAGGTCGAAAAATAACTGATTTAGTGAGTGTAGTTAACGTGATAGTAGATAGATCCTCAGGAAATGTCATTCAGGATAAAGCCAAAGAAACCTCCTGAACAAGCCTCTCCCTGCCCAGGCACATCGCAAAGGTCTCCAGGCAGACGTTCCTTGAGTGCAGCAGCTGACTGGCTATTCCTGGCCAGGACCATGGCTTTCTCTATCGAATACCTTCGCCACTCACTCTTCTTGAAATGCTGTACTGAGCCACCTCTGCCTCCTAGAATCCTGCCATGAAATAATGCCCCTTCCTTCTCAGACCTCCCTTCCTCCTCTGACTTTTCCTTTGGCACTTATCAAAAGTGATGTCCAGTGCAATCACTGATACACTTATTCATATTAGTGGGCAGCCTCTAAGTACAAGCCCTTTGACTAGTATTATTTCATGTGACCCTGACAGCATGAGGTGAAGGTAGGCACTGTCTCTATTTCAAAAGAGACAGGGTGTTCAGAGACTTGCCCTGCCCAAGGTCACGCGGCTAGCTGGTGGCAGGCTGAAAGTGCAGCCCAGACCTTTTAATTAGAAGACCAGGATCTTTTTCCCACTACCCATGTAAGTATCAGTTGAATTAAATTGAGACTTTTAGTGTGCTAACTCTTAAAAATAACACAATAAGCTCTTTCCTCAATCATATACTACCTATATTAGGTTTCACTGAATTCTCCTCACTCCCTCCAATTTTTCATCTATCTGTCAGTCAGCATATAGTAAAGGTATGTTGCTCAAGTTCTCAGTTATGAGATTTCTTGGGTGTCCATTAGGTTATTGTCCACGATCCACTCTACCCTGATAAAGATGACTCCAATCTTTCTGCAGACCTTTTTGTATGTAACTCAAAGCACTGCTCTTGGGGGAGGTTTATATCCCAGTAGTCACCTCAGGAACATCCAAGGAGGCTCAGTTTTCCAGTTAAGAGTTTCCATGAAGGACCTCTGTGTGTGTGTGTGTGTGTGTACATGCATATGTATTTTTGTAAATATATAGTGATAATTATACATACTTATAAATAAACACATGTATATTCCAACAACAAATCCTTTATTGAATTACTGTAAATATGTAAATTAAACAAAGGATCGAGTGAAGGACTGTCTACTGAGTTGGCTTCCCTCTGCGGGGGTGGGAAATGGGTTATACTGGGCATGACTGGCTCCCCTCTCTCCAGATGCATTAAGGACCTTCAAACTACTGCACAGTTCTGGGGTGACTTGGAAATTCCAGTTTCCAACTCCTATTTTCCATCATTACATATAAATGCTAATGAATTCTGCCTAGGGTTTTTCATTAATTTTAAAGATGAGCATTACAGATATTAAAGACACTTCTCTGACATACAGTTTCCCTTAATTTCCCTTACTGCAGAACACAAATCAACTATAACAAAATTGGCAGCAATTTTGAAAAAATCTTTTATCAGTCAACTTTCGAAAACCATCTTTTTATTTTGAAAATGTGTGTTCTGCCTGTAAGACATGAGCTACGGCTCACTGCAAATACACACATATTTAGTTGTCATGTTTGTTGCAATAAATAAACATCAACAGTAGTTCAAATTTCTCACTCGTCCTTAGCTCCTATTAGCTGTGAATCATGGAAAACCTCCTAACCTAAGCACCTGTTTTGAACCTGAAAATGGTATGCTTTCTACAAATTCTAAAGTAAACAAGATAATATGTCAACACACAGTAAAGTCCGGGCCCTTAGTTTTCCAGACTGCACATAAGACATCATCTAATCACTTCCCATCAGCAGGCAGGCGGGTACCACAAGCCCGCAGCAATCGCACACAAACCAAGGGACCTGGCAAAGAGCACCTTTCATGCTCATCATCATCTTCAAGTGATACATGCTGACAATTTTCCACACACAGAGATGTAAATAACTGGGGCAGAGAGATGAATGCTGAGTATCAATGATTCATTTCCATAGCGCACACGGCGGGGCACAAAGCAGAGGGCACGCTGATGGTATCAGGCACTTACTCTCAAACCCAATTAAGTAACTTCCACACTGAAAATTTATATTTTAACACAGCTGATAGCAAGCTGAGTTCTAAGTAAGGTCTGAATGTCATGAAGAATTTAAAGCAACCACGTCTGGCCTTCCGTCTCTGGTCTGTTCAGGTAAACTGACTCTACCACTTTTCTGTTTATTGCAAGTTTGTCCTTACTAAGGTCAATTTCATAAAGGCAAGAACATACAGTATTAACATATTCAAGTTATTAAAAACATGTCTTTTAAAAAATGATAAGGGAGAACTCAATACTGAAAATGAAAACAACTTGAGATAGTAAAAGAAATAAAAATAGCAGGAGAGAAAACAGAAGATTCTGTTGTCCTAGCAACTATCCTGGACACGATCAGCTTCATGGAGGGAGCACAGTATCTTAACAGCATCTGGCCTCCTTCAGCTGAAAAGAGACTGAATTGGTAAAGTAGAAACCAAATCACAGTTTGTCTAATCCAAGGAAGGCTGTACAGAAATAAAAAGTGACCTGATACAATGTGTAAAACGTGACTTGAAGGACCCAGCAACCTGTCCTGCACACATCCAGTGTTTTCACGAACATACGCAGGGTCAATTTCAGCACAGAATGGAGGAGGGTGGCCAATGAAAAATGTGTTCGTAAATGTTGCTCCGACTCCAGGTACACGTGCCCCTCTGAAAACGCTGCTTTACTTACTTACTTATTTCTTTATTTTTAGTTTAGTTTTTCTGAGATGGAGTCTTACTCTGTTGCCCAGGCTGGAGTGCTGTGGCGATCCCAGCTCACTGCAACCTCCGCCTCCCGGGTTCAAGCAATTCTCATGCCTCAGCCTCCCAGGCAGATGGGATTACAGGTGCTCAGCACCATGCCTGGCTAATTTTTGTATTTTTAATAGAGACAGCGTTTCTCCATGTTGGCCAGGCTGACCTCCAACTCCTGACCTCAAGTGATCTGCCCACCTCAGCCTCCCACAGTGCTGGGATTACAAGCATGAGCCACTGTGCCTGATGGAAATGCTGTTTTAGATGAAAACCTGGATTCCTGAGGCACCAGTGCCCTAGTGCTGGGTGTCACCTGTGAGTGTAGACAGGCATCTGAGAGCCTCCAGGACACTAGCCAGATAAATGACAGGATTGGTCAAAAGCTTCAAGGTCACAGGACCAACAAACAAAAAATCGTAAACCCTTCTATTCATATGAAAATCTAAAATCCACTCTATTGTAAAGAGGTCTTTCTTTGCTAGCCTGTGCCCCCATGTCACCAGCTTATTCGTCAAAGGAAAGTTTTAATGTGCCCTCCAAATCTCATGCTGAGATGCAATCCCCAGTGTGGGGCCTGGTGGGAAGTGTCTGGATCTTGGGGGTGGATCCCTCAGGAATGGCTTGGGCCATTTCCCTGGTGACGAGTGAGCTCTTACTCTGAGTTCACACAAGACCTGGTCATTTAAAAATATGTGACACTCCAGTGCCAAGGATCTGGTCATTTGAAAATATGTGACATTCCAACGCCCCATTCCCTTGCCTGCCATGGCAGGATGCACCTGCTTCCCCTTCACCGTCTGCCATGACTGCAAGTGTCCTGAGGCCTCCTCAGACGCAGACGCTGCTATGCTTCCTGTACAGCCTGCAGAGCTGTGAGCCAATAAAACGTTTTTAAATAAATTATCCAGTCTCAGATATTTCTTTATAGCAACGCAAGAACAGCCTAACAAAAGCCCCGAAGTCTTAGTCTGTGCCTGGCGTTCACCCCAGGGGCCCTGCAGGCAGCAGCACAGCCCTAACCCCAACCGCACACGCTCAGGACGGAGAGAAATTCTCACAGTCTACCCGGGGCCCTGTGTGATCTCGTCCCACTCATCACCCTCCCCACCTGCTCTGTCTCCTTTCCCTTGGCATTATGCTTGCCCCGAGGCCACCGGCAGCGCCCCTGCTGGCCATGCCCTCCAGCCTCCAGCCTTCACGGCCATCCTCCTTCTCCCTCAACTACCCTACAAGACTCTTTTTCTACTTGGCAAACTCATACCCAACCTGTGAGGTGTGAGTCTTGAGACCCCAGACACAGCAGACCCCTGCACATGCCTACCCTCTCAAGGGTCCCCATGGCCTCTGGGACTCCATCGCTTTCTCTGTGCATGGGTCTGCCGAGTCTCCAGGATGTAGAAACTCTGGTGTCTCCATCCTGGTGCAGTGTCTGGCACTGAGTGCAGTGACATGGGGGTCAGAAGGATGCACAGGGAAGGCAGAGCTCCTGCTAGCAGGCTGAACAGCCTGGAATACACCGTAGAGTAATCGGCAGGTGCCACGCAGAACATGAGACTCCACCACGCGGAGCCAGAAACAAGAGCTGTGGCAGAGGTGGTGAGAGCTCAGAGTGGCCCTAGGAACGAGTTCCAGTGAACAGACGCGATTCCCTCAGTCACAGCAGCTCCCAGGACACTGGCAACTTCTGGGGCACAACTGACTAAGATGACTGCATCCCAAACAGCAGCTGTGAACCTCTTATAATTACACCAAGTCAAGCAAAGCAAAAATTATAGACCCCCAGGAAGAAAAATGAGTGGGCTGGACCGTTCCTAGACTCGGGTCTTGGGGCCTCTAACTCCATCCAGCCATAGAAGGAGCTGCGCAGCCTTCCTCCAAGCAGATCTCCCTAAACTCAGACTGGAAGCAGGGTTCAGGGATAAGGAAAGACACACGGGAGAGAAAGTTTAGAAGAGGCAGCTGGAGCTTCCTCCTAACAGTAATGAAGGCCGCTGGACCCCAACTGCCGTCTCCTCGCTCAGTTCAAAGTCACCCCTCCATCGTCAGGCACAGCTGGGTGGGAAGAGGAATCTGGGAACCAGAGCGCCACGACCTGCCACTGCTTCTGCCCATGTCCCGCCTCTGTCCCTCATGAGGCGTGCTAGGCGCGCTAACTCGCTCCTGATGCTGCTTCTGTTTCTGGAGTCCTCATTCAAGGGTGCAGCTGATGGGAAAGACCAGGCTTTCCAGATCCCTGGAAAAGGCAGCCAGGTCCTTTACACAGGTGAGAGGACTCACAGGGATAAGAACCAGTATGTGGAGATCTGACCCAATGCATGCTCCACAGCTGTGAGACCATGCCCCTTAAAGACCAGTCAAGACATCGCCAAGAGAAATCTGTTCCAGAGAGACTCATCGGCTGTGACATGCAGGATGTTCAAGCATGCACACTTACAACACTGGGCACACACACTGCTGCTTTCACACTATGGGAACACAGTGACTGTGATCTACTGTCTGGAACCGGCCCTGTGATGTGAAAAGCACCACTGGATTTTAATCCAGGAATGAGATGCTCCAATGACAATGGCCAACATGGTCACTGGGTCCCATCAACCACCAAGCACAGGTCAACTGGCGTTCTCAGCCACCCTTGCAGCACCCTGGATGTAGGTTCTGTGCCTCCACGCCACACACGGCCAATCCATCAGAGTGCCTCCCCATGGGAGAAAAGAGCCCTCACCCATCCCTGCAGCCTCCCCTCAGCAGACTAGGTTGAGGTCCTATGAAGCAAGCAGTGACCCAGCCTGGGCATGCCTGCTTGGGATCTCTGATGGGCTGAGAGGCCCCTGCCTCTGGGACCCCTGCTCCATCAATGGTCCCCTTCGTCTCTTGCGTCTTTTCTCTCCACAAGCACTTACTCTTCTTTCCTATAAATACAGAGAATGCCTTAGCCCTTAAAAATAAGACAAAACAACAAGCCACAGAAGACGGGATCTCCCATTCCCACCAGGCTCCTGACGCCCCTCTCAAGGCTCACCTACGATCCGCTCATCACTGCAGTATCCTGGGCATGGCCAGCCTTCACCACCCCTGACCTTCCTGCAGTCTTGACAGATGCTGAGGCCCCTCTATGGTTCCTCTGCTGGCCCCCAGGGCCCACGCGGTCTGGCCTGCCTCCTGGCACTCTGGCGAGCTTGGTCCTCTTTACCAGCTCCTCCTCCCTTGAGCTGAAAGCTCCCCTGACCAACCGCTACTGGACCACTCACAGGCCAGCCTACACAGCATGCCAAGTGGCAGAACCTGTCCGCTGGCCCACAGGAGCTCCTGTCCCTCCCACCAGGTGGGTGAGTCAGTGGTCTGCTTCCCAGCAGCGATGTCAGTTGTTACTTGTCATTGCAACTGCAGAATTTAATTAAATGTTATGAAAACTGTGTCTAAAAACGAAGAGCTGCTGTTCTATTAAAACCAGGCTGAAATGCTTTGGAACCATTTGATAAAGGTGAATCGCTAAAATAAGGTCTACTGAAATAGGTGTGGGCGAGCCACCTTGATTTGGGGAAGAATTCTGTCTTCCCACTGTTTGTATGCTTTTTAGAAACCTAAAAAAGGAATTTCTGCTTATAAAAGAATTTGGGCTCCAATAAAAAGTATCTTAAAAGACAGAACTCTTTTCATAGGAAAGTTAGAATAATGGCTTTGTTTCAATGTACAAGCTCCAAACCCTCCAAACAGACTTCAGAAACGTGCCTAGACACAGGCTGGGCGGACTTCCCCAGCGCCACGCCCCGCCCTGGGAAGTGCTCTCCTCAGTCACCCTTCCTGGGCTCATCCATGCATCAGTAATAAACATAAGGGTCCGGAAAAGATCCATGAGGAAGTATGCCTAAGGTTCCCAAATTCAAGCCTTTAGGCCAAAGCCCATTTGTCACAAACGGCAAACTCCTACCTTCGAAGCCCACCCACCCAGCTGCCACTACCTGTCTCTAATGCGCTTTACTGCAAGACCCCAGTGTTGTCTGAACTCGCTCCGCCCGCCCTTCCAGTCACACACACACAAGTCTGCAGGAGACACAACACAGCCGAGGCTCGGGCCTCCGCCGCAGTGAGGAAAGGCCACCAGGCCCTCAGCAGCCCACTCCCCACCCTGTACCTCTTCCCTGACTCCCTCTGCTGGAATCCTTTAGCAATAGTCTGCTTAGTTTTGAAAACCTAAGCAGCAAAAAGCAGTTTGGCTGTGCACGGAGGATTCCTGCTCCTCAGGAATCCGAGGCCTCGCAGCAGCAAGCAGTCCTTTGAGGAACAGGGCTGCCAGGGCTGGGAAATCACACAGGACACCAGTTAAAACCTCGGGACGTACTGACACTACAAGAGTGGCTGCTCTCATTCAAGCTTACCTTAGCATCCTGTACTTCATCTGGCAGCCTGACTCAGGAGGGATACACTCTCACCAAATGCCCATGGACGGAGGCCCACAGGGCAGAAGCTCAGAACCCAAAGTCTCCAACAGAGTGAAGGAAACAAGCCACCATGGGTGAAAAGGTGAAGGAACAACGACCAAGGTCAGACAGCGGCCAGAGAAGCACCCCAGAGACAGAGCATAAAGGAACTATGTTTAAAATGTCTACAGAAAGAGAAGCAAGGGGGAATCACGAGCAACGAACAAGGTCCTAGCAACAAGATCGAACTGCACTGGCACAAAGAAAGAGAAATTCCAGTCTAGACCCATCTTGCAAAACTGCAAAACACCAAAGTCAGAAAAATCAGGAAAATCCTGGAAGAAAAACAAAGGATATGATCTTCAATCTAAAGAACAAAGGTCAAAGGATGACTCCTTTTCCAAGAATCAGAAGTGCTACCTAATAACTCCTAACCTCCAAGTATCAACAAGGACAATATCCATGATAAAATATGAACGCCACGTCATGGGCGTGTGACAACACACAGACCACCTGTGTACAGCAGCACAGTGCAAGTATACTTTAAGTTTCTCATGAAATTATAAGGCACAGTTTTAGTAATTTTATTATCTTTATAACATTAATTGGGACTATAGAAATTCTCATGTTGGTGGCAGAATTTGGCTAAAACATATTTTCCACATTAAAAAAAGCCTCCTAGAAAGCGAGAAAGTGCCTAGCAGGGTAACAGGCTTTTAAGGCCTGCTGCCAGGAGCACGCACCCACGACCTCCACTTGCTCCAGAAATAACTGACCGCCAAATCCCTTCTGCTCGAAATTCACACATCCTCTGTGGAATGTCCTCAAATGCTGTGTGCTCCCCTGTAGCAAAGCAGTGACCTGTCACGTGTACCTGAAGACCTCCAAAGACCAGTGGGAAGCATCTCAGGACCCGCTCTCTCACTCCACACAGCACGCTCCCCGTGCAGCCCGCTGCGGGTAAGGGCTCCCCAGCTACAAGGTTAGGAACAGACATTTCTGTTCACCTCGTCTCTGACAAAGGCTGACTTTTCTTTCCTTTTAGTTACTTGTCTTTCGCAATTTTCATAAAGCAAAACTGAACTCTTTTCTAAAAAGCTTGATTCTTGTCTTGATTCTATTTACTATTTCTTCTTCCAACATGTAATTATAGAAAACAGCATTTAATTTTGTTAGCAATTCAAGCTTCACAGTAAAACTTACTAAACCTCAGAGCCTCTGTGACCCAACTAAAAACAACTTCAACTGTCCTTGCCGGGCAGCCTCTGTGAGGTGAGGTGTCAGGACCGATGGCCCCTGGGGCTCCGGCCTGTCCTCCGTCTGTTCTGGCGAGATCAGACGCACCTCCGTCCTGCACACTCCCGTCCCCGGGCCCTCTCTCTTCCTACACATTTTCCACATTTCCAAGTTATACCTGTCACCTCCAGCTGAACTAGACAGGAATGAGAAGAAGGCAACCTTAAACACAAATAATTAAAGAGAAGCTACATTTTCATGAGAACTTGCCTTCCTATTATACCATTAGCATTTGTTTTCAAAAGGAACAGTGGGAGAAAGAGGTTTTAGAGTTAGGGTTTTCTTTTGTAATGTGCTCTTAGAACTGTTGTTTTTTCCCCTCAGCATCTGACAGAAATTGCTGCTAGCACAAGCTGTCCCTCGGATGGCCAGATAAAAGGAAGCCACTCTCGCCAGGGTGGGGCCTTTTGGCAGAAATAAAAATGCTCCATCTCCTCCTGCTCCTGGGGAAGGCCTGCACTCTCTCAGGGCTGTGTGCAAGGAGATACAGTCACAGAGGCTTCACTCAAGACATTTCCGTACTCACTTCCTTGTCTGCTAAGAGCTCTACCAAAGTCACTCAGGTCAGAATGAAGCTCTCGGAGAGGCCCTCTGAGCACAGGCTCAGAAGGGAGGGGATAGCAGGAGGAAGGGAGCTTTCCCCAGTGCCCACAGAGGCCAATCTAGAAAGAGGCTCTGCAGGCCGCGCAGAGAGCCTTTGTGAGAAGCCACAGACACAGACCTTCCCAGATCTGAAATAGCTGCATGTGAAACCCAGAAGGGCTTTGTTCAGTCACCTCCAGGTATCCCCACAATGCTATTTCCAGAAGGAAATGCAGTGAGAGCTGCTGCTTATGTCTCTAATGGACTAAAGGAATTCGGTGAATTCTTATTACTATTTAATTCCAACTGATCCTTTTTTAATATCAAGCAACTGAATTTCCTTAAACTAAATCCTCTAAATAGTCAGACAATTCTTACTCAACAGAGTAACATAAAGCCTGTGGTATGTATGGGGACCCTCTGGAAAGAGGAAGGGCAGCTTTCCAGTGGAGACCCAGCCAGCACGACCTCAGCCAGGCCATGGTCAGGGCCATGGCACCAGGTCACGCTGACAGCAAGTGCCCCTGATGCTTCACCTCTGTGCATTCCTCCCCAAAACACACGGCCCAGTCTAATCACCAGAAAAACATCAGGCAACTCTCAATTGAGGGAGAGTCTACAAAATACCTCACTAGCACTCCTTATTAAAAACAAAGTCTGAGAAAATGTTACAGCCAAGAGGTGCCTAAGACAAGAAGACCCAAGGTCATACGATAATCTAGATGGGGTATTAGAACAGAAAGAGGACACTGGGAAAAACTAAGGCAATCCAGGTAATTCAAAGTGTGCGCTTTAGTTAACAAGGGCCGAGTGTGGGGGTTCCCACCTGTAATCCCAGCTCTTGAGGAGGCCGAGGTGGACAGATCACTTGAGGTCAGGAGTTAGAGGCCAGCTGGGCCATCATGGTATAACCCCCTCTCTACTGAAAATATAAAAATTAGCTGGGCATGGTGGTGGGCGCCTATAATCCCAGCTACTCAGGAGGCTAAGGCATGAGAATCGCTTAAACAGAGAAGGGGAGGTTGCAGTGAGCCAAGATCATGCCACTGCACTCCAGCCTGGGTGACAGAGTGAGACTCAGTTTCCAAAAAAAAAAAAAACAAAACCAAAAACCCAGTAAGTAGTATTAATTCATTAATTATAACAAATGTACCATACCAACAGAAGATGTTAATAAAATGGAAACTGGATGTGAGATCCAAGAGCTCACTATTACCTTCACAATTTTTCTGTAAAGCTAAAACTGTCCTAAAAATTCAAGTTTATTTTTTTAAATGTTTAGAAATTTAAAAATCAGATTTCTCCAGTCATTTAAATATGATTAGAAATTTTAACATCTGTAAACATTTAATTCAAACCACAAGCCCAATACCATAGATTGTCTTAGATTCTCTTTAACGCTTACACACTGAAAAGCAGACAAAACCACATAACACACAGCATGTGGTGAAAAGGTCCAACAGATGACTGAGTTGAACCACAAGGAGAACAGAGAGAAAATGCGGCAAGAGTGATACAGACACACCGTGGGAGGTCAAGGTGGGCAGATCACCTGAGGTCAGGAGTTTGAGACCAGCCTGGCCAACATGGTGAAACCCCGTCTCTACTAAAAATACAAAAAAATTAGCTGGGTGTGGTGGCACGCGTCTGTAATCCCAGCTACTGAGGAGGCTGAGGCAGAAGATTCATTTGAACCCGGGAGGCGGAGGTTGCAACGAGCCGAGATCACGCCACTGGACTCCAGCCTGGGTGAAAATATTGACAATTTAAAATTCTAACCCAGAGAAAACCACCTGCAGGAATGAAGACAGCTATCCTTCCCGCTAAGTTCAAATGGAAGGCCGCTCTGCAGGGCTGGGTCATGTCTACACCCTCCTGGGTGGCACGGATTAGCGACGCCATGGTAGCAGAGACGGGAGACTAGTTATGCCTTTGGGGATTCCGGCAGGTAAAGACGCTGACATCACGGGGGCAGGTCTCTCATCATCTGAGAAGGATATGGACAAGGAGAGCACTAAAATAAACCTTGTTGTGTTGCACTGGAACTGGAGACACTGGTGTGTATTCATGGTTTCAACACATTGAAACGCAGAAACAAAAATAGATGTATATAAATGAACAAGAATCTGGGAGTCCATAGTGATAAACAGAAATCAATGAATAAATCGGGGGAAGGGAAAATATCTGCTTCTAGTAGGATACTAACTGGTCATACAGAAAGGATGACAGAAACTGAAAATCATAATTTGGCAATCATCACAGTAATAATTTAGCCAAGAAAATCAAAAGATGCTAACACTGCCGAGTGAAAGTTTGACAAGGAAGATGATACTTACATACTCTCAAGAACTTCCCCTCAAAATATTCACTATTAAGAGTCAAAAATAACTTTATAGTGAAGACACCACCTTAACAATAACAAAAGGTAACGTAAGCAGTGATGGACAAATGGGAACCGCAGGCTGCTGGATAGAATCAGTGAGTTCCAGGAAAAAGCCACACAGCCTGAATCGAACCACGGGGGAAATCTGACAAAACCAAATTGAGGGATAGTCAGCAAGGTAACCATTCGGTAATCTGCAAAAATGTCAAGGTCTTAAACGCCAAGAAAAGCCTGAGGAACTGATCCAGATTCACAGAGACGTAAGAGACGAAACAATCTAACGCACGCCGTCACCCTGGATTGGATATGCGTGCTGGAAGAACATGGCTGGGATCAGTGACTGCCCCGGAACAGGCCTGTGACTGGAGGGCAGTCCGCCTGCTGTTCTGACAGCTGTCCTGGGTTGTAGAGGAGAACGTCCTTGTTTGTGAGAATTACACATCCCAGCCGTGATTCTCAAACGGGCACCATGCACTGCCAGGAGCACTCATTCACACACTTTTCTGGGCCCCGTCCCCTGAGTGTCTAATCCAGTAGGCCTGGACTGAAGCCCAAAAACCTGCATTCCCAGCAGCAGCCCAAAGGGCACTGAGGTAGCAGCCATACTCTGCAGCCCGTTACAGTCAAGCGCTGGAAGGTAACAGGGCCTCGTGTTAATGACTTACCTTAAATGGTTCAAGAAAAGTTATTTTCCCTTTTCTTTTCTTTTTTTTTTGTTTTTTAGTTTGGAACATTCCAAACTTAAAAAAAAAAAAAAGTAAAAATGATCAAATAAAGGCCATTTTAAAGAATAAGTGTGAGAATTTATTATTAGCAAAAATTCTTCCTGCAGAAGGCCAAGGACATGTAACAGGCCAGCACAGCGCCCGGGAGGGGTGGGCACCCACGGGGCAAATGCACGGGCAGAGCTGCTGAGCTCAGCTCCGAACAGCTGCAAACGCGTGGGGGGCAGCATCCTGGGGGGACTGAGACCGAGACTAGGCAGCACACGAACGTGGGGAACTCTGCTCTGGAACTGGACAACTAACTGATCTTCGACATCATTAAGCCAAAGATAAATATTTGAATTATCAGCTTCGTCACAAAAAGCTATTATAAGGATAACTAGTAGGCAAATAGGTGGAGGCAAATGGAATAAAGAAAAAAATCCAAAAAAAAAAAGGCAAGAAAGAAAGAAAAAAAAACCAAAACACAGAAAACATAGGTAGGAAAAATATTAAATAGTAAGATAGGCTATTTACAAATACATCAGTAATTGCATTAAATGTAAACAGAAAAGTATTCCAAATATTTAGACTAACAATTTTTTTTTTAAAAACTGCAAATTATAAGGTATCCACACTGAATATAAAGACACAGAAGAGTTGAAATTAAAGGACACAGAAAAAGCTACATCGTGTATATACTAACCAAAAGAAAGTTTCAAATGCTACATAAATATTGAATAGGCAGGGCACGGTGGCTCACCCCTGTAATCCCAGCACCTTGGGAGGCCGAGGTGGGCGGATCACGAAGTCAGTAGTTGGACACCAGCCTGGCCAACATGGTGAAACCCCGTCTCTACTACGGATACAAAAAATTAGCTGGATGTAGTGGTGTGTGGCCGTAATTCCAGCTACTTGGGAGGCTGAGGCAGGTGAATCACTTCAACCTGGGAGGTGGAGGCTGCAGTGAGCCAGGTCACATCCAGCATGG